ACACCATTCTGTGGTTGTTTTGCATATGCTACGGATTTTTGTAATCTGTTGTTTTTTACAATATCATTAGTTGAGCACTTCCTGTTGAGCTGGTCAAATTGATCCCTAGCCTCTTTGACTAGATTTCCATTCATTTGAAATTTGTAATTCTTGGACCCAAATCAACATCTTCACAGGCTGTATATCTGCCAACAATTCCTTCATTTTTTTCTGCAGATGCCATATCTGTTCTACAAAGGATGGTTGCTCCAAATAGAAACACAGGTGGAATGTTTCAAAATTGAATTTACTTTGCAAGCTAGAAATGAAATCATGATTGAGTTGAGCTTGACTTGAGCATGAATTCAGAATACTTCAATGATAGTTCACATTGAATAATTACATATATTTCACAAATGGGCTGCAGACAAAAACTAGCACAAAATTCACCTATGGTACTCCCTGGGGAGTTCTCCCAGAGCTCCTCTGGTGTCTTTTTGTATGAAGGGATTTCCTTTTGTATGTTTATTTTCTTGGGAGGAAGTTGTGTCTCATTTATCCAGTTTGCTCAACTGTCTTATTGAATCAATTGTGGATAAATCTCACTGTCTCAAGTCATCTTTGAGACTGGATTATATTTGGCCCATAGAGGGACTCAAATCTCTTTGGTGACTCGGTCAGATTTCCTACCAGTACCCTGAAAGATGCCTTGAATCCAGTGGCCCAGAGGCTCAAATGTTGCACTTTGGATCAATTTGGTCTGAGAACCTGATCAAGTTTGTTTTTTCCTTGGCATAAGAATGCACACTTTATATATATATAAGTAGACTGGATATAGTATGGTTATACTGGGGACGCCACACATAGTGAGTTTGTGTTGAAAAGAAAGCTGGCAGTTTCGGAGATCAAGATATATAATAAAAGATGGTGACATGAGGAGATAAAATGAGTGAGATGTGGTACTCAGTAGGAGATGAAGATACAAAGAGGAAAATTCCAACTAGATCAGCATGAAGATGGCTACTGAGAAAAAAAGTCCTGAAGATGGTGGTTGTTGAGTTAGTTGAATGGCGCGGAGGGTGCTCGGCAAAGAGTCTCGAGCGGTGATTTGCAGTTCCGCAATCACAGAGAAAAAAACAACGTGCTCAATCATCGTGAGGATTGATATGCGCCCAATCGTTTGTGACTTGTGGTTTGTCTTTCCAGTCGGACGGCTTTCGCGAGAGGAAGAGATTGTCGACCTGGAATTGGAATTTGTCTTCGGCCTGTGACTGTAGCTCGGGATGGTCCTCAAACAGCTTTGCAAGGTCCTCTCTAGCCTTGATGACTCGGCGCTCATCGGTTTGAGAAAGTTGTCCAGATTCCTCGAGGTAAATCTCGTGCATGTCCAATGCCATCGTCTTGGCCATTTCGGGATGTGCTTTGGCGTACCGTTCCACGACGTCGCCGATGGCTTGAGTGGCTAGGTGCTTCACTCTCGTCTCATAGCTACTACCAATACGCTTACTGTCTTGCCCTCCCAGTGGGACCCCCCAATCGAACATTTCGTTGAAGGATATCGGTCCGAAGAGGGGAATGATCACAAAACGAGGCGGAACTATGACCCCTCGTTTAGCCAATATCGGTCGTTGAACTTGTGAAGTTTCGGGGATCTTCAAACATGCAGTGCTCGGAAGATGAAAGGTTGAGGGGAGGATTACCAAGAGCCAGAATGGGAAAGCATTGGAGCAAGAGAACTTCATGGCGAGTTAAGTAACGCCAAAAGAAAAAATTCAAGTAACTCGAGTGTATTGATTCGGGATTAGTGCACCGATTCTTGTCCGTCAAAAAGGCTTCAGTTTTGATGAAGGAGCTATCGTGTGATCAAACAAAGGGATGTGCGCGTCAAATCAAAGGCTGAGCTTTTTTTCAAGTAACGGGGATTGAGATAACCTACCGTGACTTGGAATAATCTAAGAATAAGCTTAAGGGGGGAGGGGTGGTGAGGGGTGGGTGGTGCAGCCGAAGCCTGGTCTATCTATGAAGACTCATGAGCAAACGCGGGCCCCATTGGACTTCCTGAAACACCTTCAAGCTCCATGTGTGGGTCTCAAGAAGAAGCATACTTGACCTCAAACCTTTCCGCTGGAAAGCAAGGGAATACGGATTCGTACATCATGTCTCAACAATCTGCATGTATGCAGGTGCCTATGACTTGGCACAGCTTGGCACAACTCTTTCGCCGGGCTGTAGCCCGAACTTGACACAAATCCCCATTCCCTGCTGTGGGCGTCGTTGGCATGCGAGTGGCCTCGCGGCTCGCCCCTGTCGCATTGTGCACACCGCAGAGAGGACCCTGGGCTCTCACTCAGAGGCTCGTAGCCGGGTCCCTTTGACGCCGAGTCGCCGACCTCGAGTTTCGGCCTGACCCTCACCCTTCCGACGTGTGAGGGTACACCTAGCTTTACTACTCTTGTTTCTCGAATGACTACTTTGTAGATGGCCCAGGCGGAACTGGTAAAAGTTTTCTGTTAAATTGCATTATGGATTATTTTCAATCCAAAAGTCAGAAGGTAGTGGCTGTATCTTTGACTGGTGTAGCGGCTCTGCTCATGCGCAAGGGACAGACAGAGATACCAATTAAATTTTCGAAAGAAAGCTATGGCAGTTTCACGTACAAGACCGGAGTAGGCTCAGAGCCCAAGGTACTTAACGTTGTAGTTAAAAATATATTTAAGGATAGGGGGGGGGGGGGGGGCACAATGGCTCTGAATATAGAAGCCCTATGTTTAGAGATTTGATTTCAAACAAATTATAGGTGGGAGACGCTTAGGTGGGCGGCTAGGAGATGAAAACACAAATCGCGCGAGAAAAGAAAAAACAAAACCGCTTCCCTCCACAAACCTCGACCGACCACTCACCACCATATGGCTCTCAGGTTCGTAGTTTTCTCTCGTTTCTCTCTTCTTGTTCGTTCTCTCCTTTCTCTTTGATGTCAAATGAATTCACCCTTTCGCAAACCGCGACCACTCACCACTACGTGTATGCCGCTCTCCTTCCCAGTCTAGTTCCTCAGTTTTGACGAGTACACCGGGCCAAAAGCTCAGAAGTATTCTCCCAGTCATCCGGCGAAGGGAAAGAACGAGTTCGGTAAAACCTCACGACGAGCTCGGCAATAACGAGGCGGTCTATATCTTCTCACCCATAAAGCCCTGATGGAGGTAAATAATGTGCCATATGGTCTTTTTGCGCAGAAATCTCTGCCACGCAGTCATTCACATCTATTTACTTTCCAGGATACCACGATGGATTCCGATCGTGAAGTTGTAGTCAGCGGGCCAAGGTCTATGGCGATGTCTGAGGCCCCCGAAAGCACTACCGAACGCACCCGGTTTGCCCGATTAAATCCAGAAATTGAACAAGACATTGCCGATAGGTTATTCTCAACATTTGTTGACATTTATGGATGTATGTGAACTTGTTTGTTCATTTTGCGGTTGGCCCTTCCTCCATTAGCTGACAATTTACATCCCATACATCAAAGTGACAGGCATGCAGAAATTTAATAACCAGCTGGAAACAATTTTGGGACGTCTATTCCAAGCATATGGTGAATACGGTGTGGATCTATGGCAAGACGCAATTGAAAGGCTTGGGGACCCAACACAAGCAAAACGCGTAAAACGTGTTGGGATAGCCCAACCGGCTGTGTACGACGAACTCATGAGACTTGCTTACAGTCTGCGGTACCCAAACGAGTATGCTGGGAACTCTCTTGATGAAATTTTTGAAGCACTTAAGCTCCCCATCCCTCCGGCCAACACCTTGAACAATCATTCCAAGGAGAGCCTGGACTTTGAATGGTCTGCTAAATACGCCCAGCAAGGCTTCCAATCAGATTATTTGAACTCTGATAATATACTAGATCCGGTCCTAGAAACACTGCGAGAAAACGCAACAAACTGGGCGCGGGATGACTACAAGGCTCCTTTTACGGCTGTCATTGGCCCTACCATGAGTGGTAAAACGCGGCTTATCATGGAGTTAGCGAAAAAAGTGCCGGTTGTATATATCTGTCTTCGACCGGAGGAGTCCACTGGCCTGCCATCCCGATCAAAACTTGCCGACTACCTCCTCCCTGAAAAGCGTCCCACAGACCTGAAGCTACATTACACAAATGTTTTGATTGCCATTTTTCAGGCAGTGGCTGACTATTTTAAGAGTCCAGAGATCGTCAAGCGGGACCAAGAAAGTCAACTGACTTCCTGGTATGAGCACAGTTTTCCAACCGATGGAAAAACCGACACAGGAGAATTTGCTGCCCAGGTTCAGGTCAAAATGGACACGCTGCAGAAACTGGACGGCAACAAAGGATTCCCAGCTCTCAAGCGGGCTTTGGCCGACTATTCGGAGTTACGCATAACTCAAGATGACCGCCTCAAGATAATACTGGCAATTGACGAGGCCAGGAGCATGCTCAAACTGAAAGACGGATCTGAAGACTCACCTTTCTGTGTCTTCCGCCGGGTTTTATCTCAAATACCTTCAGCACATGGATTCTTTGCACTCTTCACCGATACCACCTCTCGTGTGGCCAATTTCTGTCCATCGCTAAAATACGATCAAAGCGCAAGGCTACACGACCTGGGTTGGGATCTATTTGCGCCGATATATCAGCTTCAAACGCTTGACTTGTTCGCCTATAAGCCCAAGACTTGGAAAGAATTCGTATCACCCACTCGCCTCATGAGTTATGGTGCTCCATTCTACGGCCCATACTTTCGGCAAGCGGAAATGGAATTGGGGACCATAGCTGCTATCAGTCAAGTCATAATGATAGCGCAGAAAAAACTTCTTTTAACCAAGTCCCCCGATAATATGTCCCAAACCCAAATCTTTGCGTTACTCGGCCCGATAATACAACCACCGTTGTACACAGCCTGGGATCTCAACGCCGAGCTGCTTTCTAGCCATGCAGCGCACTGCATGTACATCAGCCCCGCACGAGACAGGGTGGTCTGCCAATACCCGTCACAACCTATCTACGCAACTGCGGCTCACCGGTTTCTAGCATCAGATGATAAAAAATGGGTCACATGTATCAACGGCTTGACGCTCGGAGTGCTGCAAGGACTTGTTAGTATTGGAGACGCCGGGGAATTGGCTACGAATCTGATATTGATGCGGGCAATCAATCAAACTATGGAAAAGGTGGCAGATAAGTCTACAAAACGGAAGAACTTGCCAGATACAGAGGATTCGATCTTGTGCGATGAAAAGAGAAATTTGATTCCGTATGGACATCCGGTCCGATTGAAAGATTTCCTCGAAGTGCTAACTGGTAAGGAAGCCGACCAAATCGACCTCGGCTCAACAAAAGACGAACTTGAGATGAAAAACAAGCTCCTCAATGAAGGGATAATATTTTTCAACCATCTTATTCTGATCAAATATACGCCTAATGCCAATGATTTCTTGGAGTATTTGCACAGAGGAGTAGCTGTCCAATGCAAGCCCAGACAGCCAGGCTTTGATCAACTATTTACAATCTATCTCAAACCGAATTCAGATACCTCCAATACCTCTAGTCTCGATGTGAAAAATGTCTCCTTTTGTGGTATTCAAGTCAAGAACCACGAAGGAAGTATTAAGTGGGCCGAAAGTTCCAAGTGGACAACACAATATGCCAACATCAAGGACATCAAGAACCCTTACCTGGTTATCCTGTTCAACTTGAGCGGAAACATCCCACGGAGGCCGAAGGTCGTAAAGCAAAACGATCGGAAACGTGTATTGCTCCAAATCCATGGCCTGGGAAATATCGGTTGCCTGACCACCGAGATAGCTAGTGCCTTGGACGAATTGAAAAACACGGAAGCAGACCTGCTTCGAATGCATAAGAAAGATGACCAACTGCAAAACTTTCTCAAAATAATCAATCCACATGCCTATCGGACAAACACCGCGTAGGAGATCCACCTAGTGTATTTCTGGAGCAGCATTTGTGGAAGGACTTCTCCTCATCCTTCCACAACCACCTCTTGACACCATGCCGTGTCCTGCTGCTCCAGGTCAGTCTTTTGTTTCCTGTTTCCTGTTTTCTTTTCATGATGAAATACAAGCTTGTCCTTCCACAGCCACCTCTTGACAGTACGCCGTGTCTTGCTACTCCAGAACCTGTTGAGCTCATCTGATTTGCAGAAATATGATTTTTTTTTCTACATTATTTTACATGGATAGATGAATGAGCTCGAGAAGGTCTGCAATTTATAATAATTGGACTGATATCACGTAAGATGAATTGCATAAGCTGTTAGGAATGTGAGGAGCACCCCAGACAGAAAGTTCAATCTGTTTGTCCAACTGCTACTATAAGGAGAGTTGGCTCTTTGACCACCTGGCCGGAACATTCTAGAGACAAACCGGTAAGCAAAGAACACAAAATTAACTCACTTACTCCAACATATAGCGCAAAAGTCACAATTTACACATCTATATTATAGAATCTCCTTTACTCACGTTGGTAAGGTTGATTGGGGCTGACAGTCTGAACTTCCACATATCCAGCCTCTTGATAACGATTTCGATTGCGGTCCGAGGGGGCCGCCTTCGTAAAAGCACATTGTACCGATGCAAGTTTGATGCTATTCAGTAGAGGATCAGTATCAATAAGAACATCAAAACAGAAGCAGATTGAGTCGTCGGTCGAAAGCGGGCATACCGGATTAGAAAGTTCGGGTTTTTGGTCGCCCCAATAGCCCAAGAATCTCAACCATCCCAGCCTTTGACGGGATTGCAGTTTGAGGGGCGTGTCGGCGGTGTAAGAGAAGCCGTGCTCATTGGAGAAGAAGAAGGACTTGTAGTTCAACGTCGGGTCCCAAAGGTGTCCCTTGTCGGTCACATCGTAAATCGCAACCGGCAGACCGGTATAGTTTTGCTGACCTGGTTGAGGGTACATCTGATAGCCAGAGGAAACAACATGATATGGGCAACAGTGGGACTTGATTCTTTTTTTTTGTGGGAGTGAAGTGGTCACTTACTCCGTGGGTCCCATTGGCGGCGTATACTACCGGTCGTCCATTGAGGTGTTCAAGTACATTGTAATTGAACGCGGAGTCGCCTAGCATCACCCGACCGCCGTGTGCCTCGGGTGCAACGTACATCGGCTTACCATTCTTGAACCTGATCATCGTATTTTCCTGAAATCTTCCGTTGAGCTTGTCTCGCCGTTCCCTCTATCGTCAGTCGAAAGATGGGATATCATCGAAGATCACTCACCCAATCTCCGACGTGGTCCCCAAATCGATTTCCGTTGAAGTAGTTCCCGCGATTATACGAATAAAAGCTGTTGAGAGAGATGATTGCAGACTCCTAATTAGCAATTTGGGTTCTGATGAATTACGATTTTCGATATCCTTGCAGTCTTCGCCGTCTTGATTACTCACAATAAATAAAACACATCCACCCAGCCGGGCCCAACTGTGAGGTTCAGATGGATGTAGGAAAGGGAAAAACAACGAATTCAGCATTAGAGAAATCTGATGACTGTTCGTCGCCGACGGAACAGGCCAGTAAGAAAGGAAGACAAGATAAGAGGAAGGATTGAAGGACCTTGCTGAGTTTTATCAACAGCAATGATAATCGCGCAAGCGGATGATCTACCACGCTTGTCTGGTGGACCAGCACCTCGAAGCCTTTAAGATATAAGTCAGAAGAATGACGGATGGAAAAGGCGAATGAGAAGAAAGTGGGTGAGATTTTTGGTGGAAAAATGAGTGAACAGTTTGATCAAAGTGATGTGTGAGTACCATGAAGCATAATCTAAGTCGAATATTGGGTTTTTGGAGCTGAGATAAGTGATTTCTTGTTGGCTAGGGGAGATCCTTTGAAGATTACTTGATCCCAGAAAGTCTTGAGTGGTTTGGGTTTCTCTAAGATAACTCTTAACAGTGGTGAAGTTAATCTGAGGCTGAACATTATCAAGGTGCCGATTCAAGTCTGAGGGCCAAAAGACTTCTTGCGAATGCAGATAGACCAATGGGGCGAAATCCAAGGCATATTGGGGAAGGGTTTGCTTGGAGGTGAAATACGGCAATTGGGGAGTGTTGGGTATTGTTGTTGATAGGACTTCATCAAGGCAAGGGCTCAGTAAAGCAAGAATCAGGATGATGTTTCCAGTAAGGAGTGATGAAGTATGATGACTATTAAGGAGCATGTTGGATAGATCTATTGATTAATGCCGTCCAACGCCAGGAGAATTAATCCTAAACAAAAAAAAAGGAGATGATTGCAACCCACGACTACAGAAATGTTTGATTGGGTTAGTACCAGAGGGGGATGGCGGCGGGGGAATGGGTGCAGACATTGAGGATATCGATCGAAGGGACTGATGACTTCTGCCCGGGCAGGTTATATTAGTTGGGTTGGGGCAACTGAGCTCTAACAAGCAGTTGATGAAAAATGCAGATAAAGATGTGAAATGGGCAAAATAAAAAACACAAGTCGATGATACTCTCGAAAGACACCAATGCCCGGTGTTTCGCGTTTCGCGATCACCAGCTGAGATCTGCGTCCTTTCTCGCTTTCTTCGACCCGCGCTGGCCTCTCTCTGGGCCCGTCAGTCCAACTTTTCAACTCATCGCCGACCCATGAGGATCAGCTTCAACCCGCTGGTGGTACGGTCTACCAAACGGCCTCAGTCACCCATCACTAGGAGTCCTGCTCGCTCTTCCTCCGTTGACATATTTTGGAGGCTTTCACATGTATTTACATAGACTGCCATCGATTTCATAGGTTTTTGTAAATAGAGACACTCACTCCATCATTTGGTTACACTGACACATGTGAAAAGTACGATAGAGACAACTCAGTCTAACTTAACTTAACTTATGTATTTGGAATGGCCAGTAACTGTAAGTCAGACTCTTGTCTAACCCATCGACTTGAGTCTTGGAGTGAAGCCGATTCATGAAACTTTGAATGTACACAGCGGGTCGAGTTGGGCGCCACTGGGTCGGACACCGTGACGCCCCGGTGACCCTGCAATTGAGTGTACGCCTCTAGCGCGAGGTTCCCCGCGAGGTCCCTGGGTTGCACGAACAGGCCATCCTTGGGACCGGTGACCACGGCACCAGGGCGCGCCCGCGGGAAGCTTGGGTTGCGCCCGATGGACATGGGCGGAATTTGTGCGTAATCGTGACGCTCGCCTGAATTCGCCACCGTCTGGTGGGCGCAGGCTGGGGGAATCGGCCGCGTCACTGAGTCGGCCTGGTACCCGAGGGCTGGATTTTGGTCGTCTGACGGCGGCTTGGGTTTGGGTGGCAGGGCTACACCCAACATCCGGGCTGTCAACACGGCCACATCGGCCGGTCTGGAAGGCCGCCCGGGAATAACACGTCATGTCATGCGGTGGGGCTTGTGGGGCTTGTGCCGCTTGCGCGGCAGGGCATGGGATGATGCGAGACGACGGGAGGGGCTGAGCCTCCACCGGGGCTCATCATTTGTCTTACTCCCGGGTTGCCCATGGGTCGGGCTCCCACTCGGGCCATCCACAACGGTGGTCTCTCACTGGGGCCTACCACAGCGGTGGTGGGCATGGCGTGCACATGCAAATTGCAGGAGCAAGATATGCGGTGAGGGTGGGGGGACTTTCATTGCATGGTTAATGGGGGCTTAGGCATGGCAAATTGTTGATGGGGATGTCATAAGAGCAGTTCCACCGCGGCCCCTACTGCCGGGCCGTAAAATCTTGATGATCAGGTCCACGCAGCCAGTTTTACAGTCTCAAACTGCTGCGGCATACACCGCGACTTGGTGGAGCGGTTTGTAAAAGTTGATGACAGGTGTACTGCCGAGGGTGGTGTTGTGTGTGAGAGTTGAGTTTCACACGTTGTTGTTGTGTGAAAGTGTTGTTTGGAGGCTGTAGGTGAGTCCCTAGGAGTCCCTACATGTGAGGACTCGCGAGGAGGATTTACGGACTGCCGTAGATTTTAGCGACCGCGGTGGGTCGTGTCGAGTCCGTAAATTCCACCTACAGACCCGATTTACGGCCCGCGGTGGAGTTGCTCTAAGGCGGCAGGCAATGGTACATATGGGACGGGTGAGAGCGGGTGGGTACAAATTCAATTGACTGGGGCAGGGTTAAACAAGACATGGAACACAGTGAGGGCCTTGATGGGTGGCATTCAGTCGGTATCCGTGTCGGTGTGGAACTACTCTTTGGGATGAATAGAGCTGGAGAGGGAAAGATGCTTTAATGGGCTGCCTCTCTGGTAAACTGGGTTGAGTAAGATAACAAGAAAAAGATAAGAGTGTGGACTCTTAAGGAAAGGTGTGGCTTTGGAGAATTTCTTGATATGGGTATGTCTTTATGTCTTCTGGTCTTCTGTCTGAATAATACTAGTATCCCAAATGTTGATGGGCAACTACTAGGCTAATGAAGGGTGATCAGTTATCTGGATTGCTGGGGCAGGATCTGATGGGGAACAAATGAAGAAGGGAAAACAAGGCTCCTTATATACAAAATCTGGGGAGTGGCCAGCTTGTGGTTGGAATCACCATGGAACAAAATGGAACAAGAGAAAATTATCAAACTGAAACATGTGGCCCAATTGGTAGGCACTAAGATAAATGGGGAAAATGACATCAGAGGCATGCAGGGATGAAATGTGCCACAACCAATGAGGGAGGAAGAATATACCAAAGAGATAAATGAACTAGCCAAATGTGTACTAGTGTGAGACATGAAAATAACCCAAGAGGAATAGTGTGAAACAATAGAATGTGGCCCAAAGTGGAAATGAGACTAGAGTGAAATTGGATTAGAGTGAAACACATGCAAAGGCCAAGTGTGGAAGGCTGAAAGGGGATTGATGATGTAAGACTGCATGAGATGATTATGTAATAAAGAAATGAAATGAGAATCCAGAGTGTCTTCTGTCCAGGGGGCTTGGTCTTGTGACATCCATGGTGTTGCAGGTTGGTTGAATAATCCAGAAGGGGCTTGTCTTGATCCTTGAGGGTCTCGTCATTCAGAGGGCTTGATTATGTGCTTGAAGCTTTGATTTTGTGGGCCTCTTATTCAAGATTGGCTTACCACATCCACCCCCAAATTAGATGATGACCCCATCATCCAAACAAAGAAAAAGGGCCAATCTTGATACTGACAGAATTGGGGTCAGTGGGAATCAGCACAAAATTGGGCACAAAATATGGGACACAAATTAATTTACTTAATTTCACATAAGAGACACAAACAAGCAAAGAATTTACAAAATGGTAAGAGAGGGGATATGTCAGACACAAAAGAGTGAGGAGTCAGAAGAGAAAAAGATAGAAAAGAGGGCAGGTTGCATGTTTTTGAGGGAAGGGGTTGGTCTGTTTAGTAATTTATTCTAAGATTTTTTTTATACTTTTAACCACCCCCAAATTTGCATGTGGAGGGGTGGAAGAAGGCTGAAACAGAGGAAATGATGAAAGGGAATGAAAAGATTTGACTGATGGAATTGATTAGAGAGAGCCAGGAAATTATGGGTTTGTTTTAGGGTTAAGTGGCTTTAATTCTTTTATTTGATTTTTTTGTATTTGTCTTTATTTTTAAAAACCCCCAAATTTGATGTGAAGAGGTGTCCAGGATTTGTGTTGCTTTAGATTTAAAGAAAGAGGGTTTTTGAAAATTTCTGAAGGGTGAAAATGATGTGCAGGTGGGTTTCAGTAAGAATTGAAGGGCCTGATCATGCCTTCCCCCCCTTTTTTTTTTTTTTTTTTTTTTTTTTTTTTTTTTTTTTTTTTTTTTTTTTTTTTTTTTTTAAAAACATTATTGCTGTTGAGACATGCAGTTGGTCTATTGTTGTTTTACTGACTATTGGGATTTCCAAAGCCCAAACCACTGTTCTGTCCAATCAATGTTTCAGGGAGAAAATTGTTTGAGGTCGCCAGGTCGGTGTTTTTTGCCCGAATGGATAGAGTGAAAAACTGTCGGATTGATCGGAAAGGGTTGGTGAAGAGCCCAAAGAAGAAGAGCAGGCTTAGATAGCCATCATCTGAAAAAGAAACACCGGCCGAGTCATGGTTGGCTGATCGGTACTATAAAGCTGCGGTCTGTTGCTTCTTTTTCTCGGACTTCTGATCTGAAAATTTCAAAAATCATGAAGCTAAAATGGTCGCTTCAACACATGATATCAGGTACCCCAGGTTCTTTTGCGTCGGAACAAGGTCGTGCAGCCCTGACAAAACAAACAACAGCAAGACCGGCTCCCCTGTTGGTGTGTGCTTTGTCTCCCTTGGCTGTCCCTTTGCGGGAGCAACATCGTTGACAGCTATTTAGGCTTTGATGATGTGATCTTTGAAAGCTGTCTATCAACATGGCCGACCATTTCTTTCTTGTTCTTCTTTTCTGATCCCCTAGACAACCTGAAAGCTCCCTTGCTGTATAGTTCGTTGCCTTTTTGACCAAACGATCAGACATCCCAGCAGCTCTTGGTTTTCCAACGCTTGAAGCTTGGCAAATCAATTTGAGGCTATCGGTAAATGATGAAAACGAGCTAATTTCTATTTTGCCATTGCCATCGCTCAAGAAAACTGCAACTACAACTCTTGTTAGACCTCTTGCAACATTTTGATATTGAATGATCCGTCCACAGCTGTTCTTTGACGGGACCAACCGCTCGATTGCTTCCCTCAGCTCCTGATCCTTCAAGCGAACCGGTTCAACTACAGCCATAGGCCTCCTTGTGGTGATCCGACTGGAAGTGAAGTCTTCTAAGCTGTACTTGAGCAAGGTCAGTTGCCTGTTTGTCATTTTAGTCTTACCTTCCTTCAAGCGAGCTACAGGTTGAGCATCCCTTGGCCTCTTAAGCTCCCTTTTTACACTGTCCAACAGCAAAACTGACCGTTCTTTTGCTGCTGTGATTGTCTTATTTTTCAAGCAAACCCGAATAAATGTAGATGTTGATCTCCACTCTGCTGTTGTTTTGTTCTTGCTTGGCTGCATCCTAAACTTGATCTCCCTCAACCTGCATACTGATAGAATCAATCGCTTTTGAGGTACCTTGGTCTCCTGCTTCTTTAAGTTATCTAAAGCTACCATATCTGTTGAATGGCTTGTGATATTCTGACTGATCGACTGCTTGTTTTCTTCCAAAAGTTTTAAACTGTAGGTTTGCAAATTTGGTTGATCGTTTGTCTGGCTGGACATCAATAGCGAATCATTGCTTGCATCCTTCTCCTTTGTCCTGTCAATCTTCTGAAGGAAAACAAACCCGATGCAGCTGAAACCGGTCTGTTTATTCTTTTTCTTGGAGTTCTGATCAAACACTTTCAAAGACAGTGAAGCTAAATTAATCGCTTCAAAACTTGTCATCAGATACTTGAGGTTATTTCGCGATGAGTGATCTAACTGTGAAGAATCATAGCCTGTCGCTTTCAAATCCAATAGCCCATAATCTATCCAGAAAGCGGTCGGACAGTGGTGCGTAGTTTGCTGTTTCAATAGGACCATCATTATCATCGCTAAGGTATCTTTTTTCTTTCCTTCTTTATGAAGTTTTGATCCAAGCTATACAACACCAGCGAAGCAAAAGTGATCGCTTCAACATATATAGGCTGGGTCTTGGTCCCAAAAGGACCAGATGATTGTGTACTTTCTGATTCTCTAAACGGTGTAACAAGCTGACATCCCATCTTATTTCTTTTCTTTCTAGCCTTGGATCGGTTCTTGAATGAAATATTCCAAAAAGTTGAACACACCATGGAAGTCATTATCCTAGCAGGTAGCCAGAGAGAGTTGAAGCCATACCTGCTGAACTTCACTGGGGTGTGATGAAATTGGAAAACTGAATGCCTCCTCTTTTTTACTTTAACCAGGAAAGACATGAAATGCAAGGTGTTATCTCTGAATTTAAGTAAGTGGCTTCCTAAACACCTAGATGAGTTCTGTTTCAGGCTGATAGTATTGAACCTTTTGTTTCTGAACTTTGCAGGTTTGCCTTCTCCAATATTTCCAAGAGTGAAAGGAGGTGATTTGATAGTGGTTGTACTAATGTCTGGGGTCTTGAAGGTTTGAAATATGTACTGGTAAAGAAGTGGTTTTTGGTGAGTTGAAAAAGCAGCCAAAAATTCTGGTTGAGGGTTAACAATGGATGCTGATTCAATGAAATTTCTTTTGGGTTTACCAGGGTCCTTTTGGAATATTACTTCCAATATGCTTGTACTTGAGTCTGGTTTGACAAGAAAGGGGAATTCAATCTGCTTTCCAATGATATTTATTTCTGGTACCATGTGAGATTCTTCTTTTCTACCAGCTGCCAAGATTAATTCTATCTTAAGACTTTCCAAGGAAGGTGAATCCTTCTGGGTGCAAATTTCTGGTGATCCAAATTGTGGAATTTCAGAGCTGGTACTATCTGGAGCTTCAGTCTTTTCAGTAGTAAGAACTTCTGAAATGTTGGTAGGCAGCTGATCTGATACTATTGGGTTTAAGGCTGGCACATTCACTGGGATCAAGGTATTGGTAAAACTTTCTTCAGTTACCTTTTCTCCAAAGCTTTCCTCAAGGATTTCAGGTAATTCAGGTTCAAGGCTGTCTCGGATATCTTCT